TGTCAGGATAAAAAGAAAAAAAGACTATCATTATAATAGTAGAATTCCATTTATATGAATCTTTCTTTCAGGGAAGAAGTATGCTCATATAATAATCTAGCTAATTTCTTCATTAGATGATGATTTTTTATCTTATTAATAGGAGTTTACATTTATATAAGAACTTTACGAAACATTTTCTCTAAAATTATTATAACAATATATTAAATATAAATTTGAAAACAATTTTACAAACATAATAACTTGATAGTTATTGATGATTTAATTTTTTATCATATTGTATCATAAATTTATTTTGTATCATAAATTTAATATACATATCTAATTATATTATAAAGACGTTTATATAATTGGAATAATGGTTGACGATAATACAATAGAAGCTCAGCTAGAATTTGAATAATTTGATATTATGTAAGATTTCGTTCATATAAATGGAATTCACATAAATAAAATATCGTAATGAAGATAAGACAAAATCTATTCTTAAATCTATTCTAAACATCATTTATATTGACTTCTCAATCATCATATAACTTAAACTACGATTCATGCATTTTAATTCATAGTGTAAATTTAATTTCGCATTAATTAGTAATTATAATTATATTAATTTCATAAAAACGGAATTACATTAATTTCACACATATTTTTATAATCATGAGCAATCGTATAACATCATTAATATCAGTAAAATATAAGAAAAATTGATGATCTTTTTATTTCGTGCAAAATTATTATTTTTTATTTTCATTAAAGAATTGTGCAATTAAACATTTGTCTTTATTGATTTCAATTCAAAAAAGAAAGATCGTATAATAAAAAATTACCTATATACATTAGATAATTAAAATTAAAAATTTAATAATAATAAACTCAACATGATTGATTATTTTTGGAATACTACTATATTTTGTATGTTGTTTATATATTGTTTATACATTGTATGTATATATAACTATTTTTATATGCAATTTTATATACAATAATTGAAGTTATTAATTATATTAAAATTTTAATATTTATATTATTTATTTATTTTTTTTTTTTGACAAAAGAAAGAAATTATTTTCTTTTTTTTTTTATGTTTACATTATTAGGCTAATTTGTTATGCATTTGATATTTATACTATAAATATATATTTCAGAAACATTTATTTTTAATTAATTATGCTTTTAATTTATAAATAATATTTTAATTATTATTATTATATTATATTATATATAATAATTATTATATTATTATATTATATTGTTTTTATTTAATTAATAATTGTTTAATTAATTTTGTTATTTTAAAGATATTCTTACGTTTGGTCAAAAACTTTTTATATATACTTTTTATACTTTATATACTTTTAAATATAGTATATATTGTGCACTGACATTTATATTAGTAATCTTTTAGACACTAAAATCAATAGCAAATTTTCACATATTCAAATTTATAGAAATTATTTAATTTAAATTTGGTATTAGTTAAGTATAAAATATTCGTTTCTTTTTAAACCAAATTTGTATCGATAAGATGATACAAGTCACGACTTTACGAATTTAAAAAGAAATACTAATTCGTGAGAAAAGAATGCAAATTGCGTTCTAGATTTCGCAGGATCGTTTCTTGGAAAATATATTTATCAATTTTAAATTAAGGACATAGATAGGCCATCGACTGATATCTTAAATGTGTGAGATGATACAGGAAACGAATTTCAAAGTTTCTAGCCGGAGTCGCACATTAAAATTCAGATAAAGTAGAAATGTATCGTGACGCAAACACGTAACATCATTTTCTTAAAACTTCTTAAATATTGTAGAAAGTTAGGTAAAGTTAGGATAAATTATTTCTTGTAATGATTATTCAATTAATAATTATAATGATTACCGTGATTATTTTTAGGTAATCAATTAAAAATCAAAATATAGTTGATTACTGCTTAACTCTAGTTCTAGGATATGAATTAGTAGTAATTTATCAACCGGATGTGTATTTTCTATTCATTTCAATAGTCGAGTTAGCTAGAAACGACGGAATTGAAATTTTCATTTTTAATAAACCTTACGTTTCAGGATGCTAGCAACGAAATAGGTACAAGATTGGCAATTGTGATATATCTTACGTTTTTTTAGCAATTTTATCGATGAAATTACTTTTTGAAATTTTAATTTTATATTAACATACTTTTTTAAATTTGAAAATATAATTTGTCTTAAATAAATAATGATGTTAAATAAACTTATTAAAAAAATTATTTTTCTTGAAAATTTATAAAAATAATGTAATTTTATAAAAATTTATAAGAATAATAGATAAAAAGTGGACAAAATATTTTATGCATGCATTATTTTCTTTTAATACTAATATTAAAAATAGAATTATGTTTTAATTTTATTTGATCAATATTGAAAAAAAAATATTAAAGTATTTAAAAAATTTTATAAAATAATATTATTTAATAACAAATAATAATTTCTTTTTAAATATTTTAATAATATTAGTGTCTGTTTTCTTTAAATATAGTGAAATATCTTTTCAAACAAAAAGTGTTTAATATAAGCAGATATATCATGTAATATTGATAGTTTTTTAATAGATTGACACATAAAGATCATATGAAAATCAATTTGAATTTTTTAAATAAAATCATATAATTTTAAAACATATTAAGTATTATTAAATTATTCATATGAAAAATTTTTAGTTTAAGAAATATTTTAACCTGCAATTTGTAAAACTTATTATATAAAAGACAAAAAGAACATGAAAAGTAAAATATTATTTTGCATATTTCTTACTTTTCATACAATATATTTTATGAAAATTATTATAAGTCAAAATATCCCTTAAAGTAAAAATTTTTCGACACAAATAATTTAATATTTTTTTATAATATATATATTTATTAATATATTAAAAATTATATAATTCCATTATTAAAAAAAAGTATATCATCTTTATATGATCTTATTTATAAAGAAACTATTAATACTATATAAATATATATAATCTAATAACTTTTGTTACAAATATTTTTTTCATAATATTCTTCCTTTAAAAAATATTTTATTTATAGGTAAAATCGACACTGTATAAATACGACATTCTTAGTTATTATAGTTCTCAGTCCTAATAAATTACAATATGCGTAAAGTTCGTAAATCTTGTCGATCTGTTCTCCTCTCTAATTAGGCGACTGATTTTATCATATTACAAACAAGGGTTAATACAAATTTCCCTTCGCCCTCGTTACATGAATTTTCGTTCCTAAAGGATATTACCGTGAGTTACGTCGTCATTTCATCGCGGCTTTTTAATCGTGCTTAAGCGAAATTTAGTGAACGATCTATAGTTTTAATTACCGAATTTCACTGAGATTGAATGTTAACGCGATATAGGCACAATTAATTCACTGCTATGACTAGGAATAGAATTTTATCGCGTGATTTCCGCGTAACGAGCTTTTTAAAGGTATTTCATCAATGAATTTTCGTAGAAAAGTAATATTTCTTACATCAGGTTTGATAAGAAAATTTGGGAAAACGGAAATATTTACACGTTATATCAAATGCATTTTTACGAAATGTTCTATTTTGATATGTATACAAGCAACAGGTTATTGAGATTTTTCAACAATATTCATAGATTTTTCTTCTTTTGTAATACGGCAGTTTGTGTAGATATTGATTTGAAAATATATCAAGTAAAGATATTTAGGATGATTAAATTCGATTATGTAGAGCAGTTTTATGAATTTTAATTAAGTAATATATAGATAAGAGCAATTCAAAATTCAAATATATATCAAATAATATAAATATAAATTCAAATATGGATCGGAAATAAGTCAGATTCAAGATATTTTTAATTATTTTGAAAAAGATATTAATATTTAGTTTTTAAGTATCTTTATGAATTTAGAAATGAAAAGAATGCTTTCAAAAATTAAGAATTGAATAGATTCGAAACTTTAGGTTGTTAAAAATTTTGTTAAAAATTATCAATTCAATTAAAATTAATTTTCTTTAATTTTATTTTTGCATAATATAATTTTCATAATCGATAAATAATTGATTTAGGAAATAACATTATCTTTCTTTATATATTTTTCAAACTATAATATAAATTAAATTATTTTTAAACAATTATAAATGGAAAAATTAAAATAAAATTATAGGAATTCTGTTTATTATAATTCTGTATTTAATTTGATTATTATTTATATTTTATAAAAAATTTAATTGATTCTAATATTCTAATCTAAGATATTCGAAATAGACAAACATTCATTCTTTTGAAATCAGTTTACAAATATTTCACAAATATCATATTGAATCATTATTTCTTTAATATTCTATTCTTATGAAATGAATCTTTTATATTATATATATTGAATTTGATTTGAATTTAGATAAATACATTTAAACTTAACAGCATCGTTACTAATAAAGAAAGATATAATACATATCAATAAAATATTAAGTAATTATAAATTGATCTAACATAATTTTGTCTTATTTAATTTATGTTACTTTTTTGATCTAAGTCACTTTTTTTGTATATTTAATTATAAATTATGAATAACAACAAATATAAAGAAAGAATAACAATTATTTCCAAAGAACGATAAATTTTTAAAAAGTAAATTTGTAAAAAATTTTTTTTTCATAAAAATTAATTTTTATCTCATATTGTATATAATTATATTTATAAGATAAAATTTCTTTTTATTTTAATATCTCTTTCATTTAAGAATCATCAACATTTTAAATAGAAGCAATAACTTAAATAAAAAGTGTGATTTCTTTCTTACAAGAAGAAAATAATAGGAATTAAAAATTTTTTCTTATTTCATTCATTCAAAAATGAAAAATGTTCGTTTCAATTATACAAAATTTTATGGAAATTTATATATTATTTATCCATTTTATTCTCGTGCAAAAATTAAAACAGAAATTTTAAATTAACAATAAATTTAATTAATGATTTATTATTAATTTACCTGTCCTCCTTCTCGAACCATGACATCACTCGAAGTATCTTCAGAAATAAAGTCTGGTGGCACGACGATTGACAACATACCTGTCTGAAAAAAAATTTTTATCAATTATTGGTATTATGGTTATTATACTATCATTATATAGAATGCTAATATATTTATAAGATCTTTAGAAAGTTAATTTTAGAGATCAAAACAAAGACAAAAACTAGTGTACAAAAATATCAATTTATTTATTAAATTATATTTGCAATTGAAGTTAGATAAAGTGAATAGAAGAGATCATTCTGTCTTATTTTATTCAATGCAAACTTAAAATGCTTATAATTTAATAAATAAGTTTCAAGCAATCTTTTTATGTTATTTATTATAACCTTTAGAATTAATCTTCTAAAGGTGTCTCATGAATATATTAATATACTGTATATATTGAAATATAATATATTAAAAGCCCGAAACAAGATTTTTAATATCTTTACAAACATTTTAACATATTATGAAAATTTTAATGAAAACATTGAATTTCATTCAATAATGAATGCATTAATATTACATGAACAAATTTTGTATTATAGCTAATGAAAATACGTTGTAATGATAACAACATGACGTTATTTTGGGATAAAATCCTCATAACCGAAAACATTATGATGGATTTTCATTATAGATGGTGTTAAATCAATAAAATTATTTCGATTTTCGTATTCGTCGATTAATTAAACCCTGAGAATTTTTATAGTTTTTATGCACACTTTAATGAAAGATCTTAAACGAAAATTTCTTTGGATTATATTAACTCGTTCATTTATAAATATTTTCCTATCTAATCATTCTGATATTTTTTATTAATTAGTTTACTCATAGTAGAATTCTCAAATATCTCTGTATATATAATGAAAACTATGCAAATCTTTAAAAATAAAATTGCGATAAAAATAATTGAAATGTTACGTGTTGATTAAAAATTGTAAAAATTCAAGAAAAGTTATAATCATGGAACGTGATCATAAACTATGATTAAAAGATAATTATATTATGAGAAAAATGTAAGGTTCTAAAAAATGAACGAATTTATAATATAATTCGTTATAATATATTTATAATATAATATAAACAATAAATTTCATTATTTCAAATTTCAATGAATAAGTGAAAATAAGTAAAAAATAAGAATTTATTTATTAATGAAATTATTATAATAATGTAAGAAGAATATATTATGAGTATTTAATTATTTATATTATATAGTATTGTAATATATTTAATGTATAATATAATGTATATATAATGTAAGTATATACTAATGTAAATATATTAATTATTTATATTAATTAATTAATATTAATATATTTACATTAATAAAATTTACATATCTATATATAATAAAATTTATAATGTAATATATATACTCAGGTTTTAAAATTAATATTATAATAAGTTTGATAATTGTGTTTCTGTTGTAAAAATACAATTGAATCTTTTTATATGTTTTTTTCTCTTTATATATTATTTATATATATTATATAATGAAATTTTACAAAATAATTCGAAAGATTCTTACTTTCTATTAAGCATTTTAAAAGTATTTACTCATTTTAAATGTAAATACTTTTTTGGAAAATTTAAAATATCCTTTTATTATTTTAAATATATATTTTAAATAAATTGAAAAATAGTTATCCATTTAATTTTGATAAAATTGTCAAGAAATTATTCCATTCTAAACAATTATATATATATCCAATGTTATAGATTCGAATAATAAAATTATAATAATGTTCAAAAAAGATTTTCATAAAATAATTATTATTAAATGCAAAATAAATAACTATTAAATGCAAATACACAGATCTGATTTCAATGATTTCAATTTCAAAGAAATGTTTAATTTTAACATTAGAATGAAAAATTAATATTTAATTTTTCAAAAAGCAAATAATTAGCTTCAATATAACGAATTCATTTCTAAATAGCTCATATAATAATCTGATTTAAACAATCATTAAAATTAATATTTTTATTTAAATTATATTATTAATTAAGAATAACTATAAAAAAGAACTTAATAAACAATTTATTTCAAAAAATTTATTATTTTTTCTATTTTCAAATAAATTGATTATTTTTAAAGTTAATCGAAATCGGAAAATTTACGTAACTCTTTAAGACAATATTTGAATATCGATTGTTTTTAAAATATTTTCTATTTTCTTTTTATGTCGCATTTTTGTTTCTTTTATTTTTTTAACATTATATAAATTACCATTATATACTAATTTAACACTATATTCTTTTAAAAATATATAAATAATAAAATTTTTATTATCTTTTAATTATTAATAAATTTTATTTATATTAAACAATTTCAAATTCTTCAAATTATTATTTAATCTGATTAAAATTTTTCTCTTGTGATTTTGAACAACTTGAGAATTTATTTTATAAATTTTTTATTCTCAATACAGTTTTCGCAATCAAATTTAAATATAAATAAATTAAAATGCATTAAAATGATAAATAATAATTTATAATTTGGATTAATATCAATAATTTTAATTTTAATTACAATAAAATATGATACATATTTCATTATGATACATTTAATATGATATATTTCCATAAGTCATGGGATAATTTTTTAATATAAATATAATATATTCTTTAAATATAAATTTATTAATAATTAATATTAATTTGTAAATTTGTATTTTTAATTTCATAATTATAAATTAAATAATTAATATCTTTTCATAACAATTTTTTCATAACAAAATTGTAAAATTTGTAAAATTTGATCGATATTTAAAAATTTTAATGAAAATTTGAAGATTATAAAAGTCGTAAAGTTTGATAAAATAAAAATATTTTTAGTATATATATATACTAATAGAATAGTATTTTTAGTATATATATATACTAAAAATATTTTATATATTTTATTTATATATATATATATATATATATTTTTTTTTCTTTAAATTAAAAATTTTTTAAATAATAAATTTATATAATGTAATATTAATATATACTTTTTTTTTACATTATAACATACCAATATAATATTTATTAAATATATGTATATTTTTCAATAATGTTGCATGTTATTGTTATTATTATTCTTTAATGGATCAAAGTAAATTTACATTAAGATTATTAAAACAAAATTTTTTTATAGTATAAATAGATAATTAATGTAATATTATATTATAATTATTATAAGATTATTATAATTATTATATGATATTATATTATCATATTACATTTTTCATATTCTGAAATGTATTGTTAAGTATCTAATAACTTATGAATAAAAGTGCAATATTTAAATGATGATTTAAAAAACGATCAATAATAAAAAATGGTAATATTACTAAAAATATACTAAAACAAATATAGTTTCTTTTTTTATTATTTTTATTATATAACTTAGTTTTATTATGATATTTTCTGTTTCAATCTTTTCGAGATGCAATTTGTAATATTATCTATCATACTCTTAATCATTTACGAATCCTTTTTGAACTTCTTTTTATTAATCTTTCTAATATTTAAACAATTTTTTATGTATGTTTTATAGCTTTTAGTAGTTTTGCTTATAAGTAATTAAGATATAAATAAATATGTATATATAATTTTCGTTCCTTCCTTGATATTAAATATTGTAAATGCATATGTATATAATTTATTTATGAAAATAAATAAATAAAAGTACGATAAATTAAAATATAATATTCTTTATAATCCTAATCGATAATATAATATCTAATATATCATATGAAAACTATAAATAGTTCATTATAATTCACTCTTTAAGCATATAATAATTATGGACTTTTGTTGTTGTTCAAAAATATTTGATTTGATATTTAAAATTTTTTAAACATTTTATATAAAAAGAATTTTTATTAATAAAATAACTTTAATTTTAAAATATGAAAAAAATAAAAAAATTCATAGAATTTAATATTAATATTAAAGATTAGTTCAATAGAAACATTAATTGATTACTTTGATTTGATTTGACTCTTATCTATTTTTTAATATTTTTTCCTAAGTATTAAGTAATTAAAATTCAAATATAAAAATTTTAAAAATGAAAAAACGTATTCACTTGCCCAGTCTCTCTTACATCTCGTTTAAATTACAGCATTCTAAAATAAATGAACTTAAATAGACTCCAATATAATCCATTATGGTCTCCAAAAATATGGTTGCATAAAATTATATAAGTCGGCCGGTATTCAGAAGGTGGAAAGCGTGCAATTGCACCGGGGGGTCGCATCTTACCTCCAAGAGCGGTATATTTCACAGAGCATGCCAAAACTCGTCCCCCACCAGATATATTTTCCGACACGCACCGGAACCAGCCAGAATTTAATGTTAATGATACGCTTAACGGCTGCACAATGCATCAAATAAATTTCCTTTCTTACCGAATCTCTAAATTATATCCGTGCGCATTACTCTATTTGCAAGACTCTGAATAACGTAAGAGCCCCTAAATTTTGCTTATATTTCGCCTCCCTTGCACTGAAGCAACATATCACGGGGTTGTAAAGCGACTCAGGGGTACACATATACTCCTTTATCAAGAAAACTACCAATGAGCGTATTACAGCTTTTTAATTAACAACATGCGCTAAATAATAACATTCGATGTGATTGAATATTGTTGTATTAATATTCGTTTAACAATTTTACTAAATTAAGTTTTTCAATCGATTTATTTATTGAATTTTAGAAATAATAATTTCACAAGAGAGATAGTCATTTTTTGATCAACTATTATATTTTGTTTTTGCAAAATAAAATTAATAATTTTTATATGTTTATTTTTTTATAGAAATAACAAAATATATCTATTCATGGATTAAAAAGGATTAAAAATATCTAGCATTAAATATCTAATTAATTTTATCTAAAAAAAATTAAAGTACTTCAATTTTTATTCTTCTATACGTAAATATAATTAATTAATAATCATTTTTAAATTATTCAATTTTTATATAATTACATTTTTTAATATTTTCAACAACAAGTGAGATATTTAAGATGGCAAAGTCATGCTATAATAATATATAAAATTT